TCTTCGTCAACGTTTCAACCAGGGTTTTTATGCCGAAAGGCTTTTCCCTGACGAGCCAAATAAAGCGTACTTTTTAGTACTGACTGGGCTCAAATAAAGTTGTTATTGAGTTTTTATTTTCCTATCCTCCTTCCCATTAATAAAGAATCTCGACATCACCCGTAAGGGCATTTTTCGATTCACTACTATCCATTAGAGTACCGAATAAGGCATCGGTCGCATCAACATACGTCTTCGTCCGGGGAGGAAGTTTTGGGTTTCAGGGAGGAGAAAAGGTCGATCCTGGAGGGACCCCTGCTTACTGGAATAGAAACCGGGAGACTGATCGAGATGGGAAGGACTGTACACTCGAGGCGGAGACCGAGAGAAAAAGATATGGGAACATCAAGGGCAACGTCTCGGGGCACATGAAAAGGTGTCACAACGACGTCCTGCAGATCGTCAGGGTGCTGGGCGACCGGCTGGGGACAGTAGGAAAGGATAGTGTCCCGGATGCCGTTGCCCAATTAAGAGCTGAGAATAAGCTCATTATGGAGAGGAAAAAGTTTCTGACAGAGGAAGTCGCGCGCCTTAAGAGGGAGATGAAGCGCAAGGACGTGCCTCCTGGGATCTCTGCACCGGCAGAGAGTTTTAGTGCAGTGAGTGCCGCGATTGCAAGTGCAAATGGTGTGATCAAAGTGGGGAACACGGTGAACAAGCTTGGACAGCGGTCCGTAGGCGAGGAGAGATTAGCGGCGGCTAGAGAGGAGGAAAACATGGACCTGAGGGCCATCGCTAATTTGATCAGGTCGCTGGCGAGGTCTTAAGTAAAGATGCAGCAGGACCATGATAGTTTAATGGGTAAATGGTCCTCGTACGCTCAGGTTGCTGCGGCGACCCCCCCCCCTCTGCCTCCACCACCGGTGGCTACTGCAACGGTCGGGGGAGAAGGAGAAGATGGCTTCACTAAGGTAGTGAGCCGAAGACGACGGGCTGCGGCAGTCCCGGCTGGGAATGCTGTGATAGCAGTGAGAGTGAGCCCGGTGGGTACGACTAACCTCTTGGGTACTCGGAAGGAAGTTGCACGGCCTGGAAATGGTAAGGGTCCCTCGTCCGGAGCCAAGGAAGGAAGCCAGAAGAACCGGTCGTGAAAGAACAGAGAGTCTGCAGTGGTCTCCTTTACATGCGATAAGGAAGAATCGTACAGAGAGGCTCTGCAGAAAATCCAGGAGAAAGTGAACTTTCAGGAACTGGAGATAAAAGAACTACCATGTAGGCGTGGACTCACCGGGTCGTTTATATGGCAGGTGAGAGGGAAAGGTGCAGACGCCAAGGCGGACAAAATGGCGCAGGTACTGAAAGGAGCGCTGCCGAAGGCCAAAATAAATAGACCTCAAAGGGTCAGCCCTTTCAGGCTGATAGGTGTACTTCTTAATGCCAGCCATAGTGACATCGAGCGCGGGGTGCTGGAGATTAGAAGAAGAAAGAAGACGACGAGACGAATCTGGGCCTCATCAAGATAGGGGACATGCAAGCTGGCAGGGGTGGACTCGGAGAGGTCACA